CTTTTGGAATTCCTGGATCCCTAACTGTTCACATATGGCAGACATACCAGATGTTGCCCTCTGAGGGGCTTCTTGGTGATCTTGGTCTTGGTCCTTTTAAAGGACATCATAGTTTCTGCACAATTGTGAGAGTCATGTTGGTGAAACCCTTGCTGTCATTTCTCTCATTTCTTGTCCTTCAGCATCAGTGCAAAGGGAAGAACACACAGCAAATAGGTATTCATTGCTAAAGGTCTATTTGCTCAGAGCTCTCAAGGGTTAACGAAATTCTCTCTTTTCATAGCCCACAGTCTTTGAGAATGTTCATTGCTAGAGCTCATTTCTGCAGCAAAACACTTCACCATGAGGAAACTAAAGGAAGAAACCAGCATTCGGAATACCAGCTTTCTGGTTCTTGCTTTGCTCTGAAAATGGAAGAACCATGTATTTCTGGCAAATGCCCACCAGGTGGCAGTGTGATACAGTAGAACAAATGTCCCAAGACCTCGGCTTTCTGAGTTTTGATTTTGGACAAATTATTTAACTTCCTTCGGCTCAGATTCCTCCTTGAGATACTCTTGACCTGTATCCCTCACAGCATGCTTATAAAGAACATATGGTATAGTGGACAAGAAAGCACTTTAAAATATACGGTGTTCTTGTGCCAGCTCATTAGTTGTCATTGGCCACTCAAGTGCTCCAGAGCCTCCCACAAAAGACTGTTTTAGGCATCGTCTGTACTACTTTTGCTTGCTCGTTCTCCATCACATGTGGCCAAGCCTTGGAGAACTTACCAGAATACAGCTCGTGAGACTCAGGACTTGCTTGCTCTTTGGTGGGCCAGGTGGGGATGGAGGGTAGTATTCATTAATCTCTGCTGTACCTTTTTATCCTAGCATGACCCATGCCAGTCTAGAGCCCTAGTGCAGGTTGGATTGAGGTCAGTGGTGGAGGGTGAGTAAGTCAGAGAATTTATGAAAGAAATATACGGCAGGAAGAATAAAGGAAGAGTCATAAATTAGTCGTCTATCCAAATTTGTATGTTTTCTTACTGCTAATTCTGTTTCCTGTCTGACATGCAGTCTGGCACCACTCTCCACAGCTGTAGTGCTCTGGGTGCCTGGGAACTGAACTCAGAGCACACACCCTAGGCACTTATTTTCCAGCAAAGACCTCTTCAGTGTTGTTCTTAGTTCAGGATCTCTCCAAAGGAGCTTTGTTTTCACAAGATAGGATCCTCAATGGCTGGGATACTGCCCTGTAGGCTCTTTTCTCATTATCTCCATACAGAGCCTAAGTTTGTTCATCTTGATATTTTATTATTCCATTTTCATGTGTGTGTGTGCCTATGCCGGTTTTGGCATATGTGTGGGTCCATGTGTATGTGTGTGCATATACACATGGCTTTTTGAGAATAAAGTAGTATTTTTGCAATGTATCTCCATCAACTCATATTTATAAATACGGATTAATGCAGGAATCTGATTTCTAATTATTTCTTAAATTTAATTTTATGTGTTTGGGTGTTTTACCTGCATGTGTGTGCAGTGCCCAAGAGAGCTGAAGAGAGTGTTGGTTCTCCTGGGACTGGAGTTGCAGATTTTGTGAGCTGTCATGTGGAGTAAGATAAAAAAAAATACAAATAAAAATATTTGTACCTACTTTTATTTTTATCTGTGTAATTCCTTTGACTAGTTCTCTTTATTTCATGTAGATCTGAGTTACTTCTTAGTTTCCTTTATGTCAGCCTGAAGGGCCCTTGAGGAGTTTTTGGACATATTTACCGGTGAGTAATTTTCTCAGTATTTACCTAGGGATGTCTTGATTTTTCCTTCAGGGTTTTGTTTGAGACAGTCTCACTATGTAGCCCTGGCTGTCCTGGAACTCACTAAATAGACCAGACTGGCTTTAAACATCCAAATATGCACCTGCCCTTTCCTCCTGAGTGCTAGGATCAAAGGTGTAATTTTGTTAGTGTCTGACTTTAGCTTTACCACCCTTCCTCTTTCTCCCTTAAACTTGCTATCTAGTCCAACCTGGTCTTCCTGCTGTGGTCTCTTCATTGTGGGGATGAAAGCAGTGACCCCCATTCCCTGTCTCTTTCATTTTTGATAGGTAGTTTTTCTGTGTATAGAATTTCCCTCCAACACTTGGATTACATCATATGTGCTTTCTGATTTGAAGAACTTCTGATTACAATCAGCTCCAAGCCTTACTGAAGTTGGATGCAATCTGTCCAGCTTTGGGTCTTTTATTGTCCCCTACACCCACCTGGGATTACTCTTTTATTGTGCTGGAATTGAACAAGGCCTTTCACATGCTAGGCAAAGCACTCACCAATGATCTCCATTACTGAACTTTTTGGGTATACATATAAATAAGTTCTTGCATCAGATTTGGAGAATTTTCAGCCATTTCATCTTCCTCTTTCTCCTTCTCCTTTTCTTCCCCTTCTTTCTAGTGCTAGGGAATCCAACCCAGGACTTTGTGCACATTTCTTACTTTTTCTCCTGTTTCTAGAACTTCCATTATTTACGTTTTGCTTGGTGGTGTTTCACAGGTCAAAGGTTTTCTCCCTCTTCCTTTATTCTTTTTTCTCTCTATTCTTCAAATTGAATAATTTCATTGACCTATTTTTTTTTTTCTTCCCTGAGACAGGGTTTCTCTATGTAACAGTGCTGGCTGACCTGGAACTCGCTTTATAGACCAGGCTGTTTTTAAACTCACAGAGATCCACCTGCCTTTGCCTCCCAAGTGCTGGGATTAAAGGACTGAGCCACCACACCCAGCTCATTGACTTATCTTTAAGTTTACTGGTTTTTGTCTGTCTTCCTAATCTGTTAATATGCCTATCAAAAATTTCATTTCAGATATTGTATTTTTCAACTCCAAAGTTTCAATTTGTTGACTTAAAAATGTCTCTCTCTTTTTGTATTTTCCTTTCTTCTTTGTGGCCTTTTTTTTTTTTTTGAGACAGTTTCTCTGTGTAGCCTTGGCTGTGTATTTTACTTTCTTATATGCTTGCTTGAGTGTTTTGCTTGAATGTATGATTGCACCAGTCCATGCAGTGGCTTAAGGAAGCCAGAAGAGGGCATACGCTCACCCACTGTGAGCCAGTTGTGAGAGGGCGCTCTGTAACAGACTCGGGCTGTGGAGGAGCAGTGCTCAGGAGCAGAAAGCTAGAGCGGCTGGAGGGCGCATCACAGAGAGCAGCAGCTTTTCAGTTTCCTCTTTAGAAGGATATTGGAGATTTGGAATTTCGTTTGTAATCCAAATAGGCCCAGGAGAAGTGAGGTCCAAGTCACAGTCAGAGTTCCTGACAGCCAGTGAGCTGAGAGGTGTCCAGAAACTAAATGTTTGAGTGACTGAGTGACTTCAATGGCTAAGATGGTTCACGATCAGGGTAGCCAAGTCTGAAGACATCTTATTGTCATACAAAACTGGACAAATGATTGCCACAGATATTACTACAGAATCACACACACACACAATCACTCACACACACTAAAAACTTAAATCCAATAAAGATCCATCCAGGAAACACTCCCTAGTTTCTTTATTTTCATAAAGTTCTACCCTGCATTCCCCTCTTTCCTTTCTCCTTCCTCTCTTCTTTCTATTGTGTGTGTGGTGTGCATTTCAACAGAAGCTTATCTTGCCTCAGGTAGCCTGTTTTCTAGGATCTCAGGGTCCTGTGGTCCCAGAAGAGTGTGTTCAGTGAAAATATGAAGACAGGACAATTTCCTAGGTCCTGTGTGTTCACAGAGGGGCGGGAAGGAGAATTCTGGTCCAGGACATTCAGATCCTCAAGTTTTAGGTCTCAGGGAAGGCACAAGATAATATTTAGCTTCAAGTGAGTGAGAGCACTTTAGAATTCCCAATGAAGGAGAGAATGAAGTAGGATTATGTAGGGTGGGGGTCCACCCTGCCCATAGCAGACATCTTTGTGATCCAGACCCTCTGGTTTGCGGAGTAGGAGAAGAGCCTCCCACAGGAAGTGGAAAGACAGGAGCCTTTGTTGGTGTTTCTGCACAGGGTGAAGAGTGAGTCAGAAAGGTCCCAAGAAGCCCAGTGTCCACCTGTGGGGGGCCAGGCCCAGCAGAAGGCAGCCGTCCTTGTGCTACTGGGAAGTGGTCTCAAGACTGTCTTAGGCCTCTCTCTAGCAGTGTGACTGCCATACTTGAAGGTGGCCATTCCTGTAACCACAGGGTTCCTTCCTACCCAGACACAAGGGGAAAAGGCAGTGGCCTTTATGTAGTATTAACCAGGCCCTGAGATTCAGGGTTGTCTAGCAGGGACAGGCAAGTCAGGTAGCAGGACAGACATCCTCAGAAAATGGTGATTCAAGGAGTTGCAACTGTGGTCAGTGCCCTTCGCAGAACCCAGACCCCAGCCAGGCCTGCCAGCATGCTCTAGCTACATTTTTTGTACCCAAACTTTTAAAAAAATTAGTTTTATTATTTTTAATTAATTGTGTGTGTGAATGAATGCAGGTTCCTGAGGAGGCCAGGGTTGTCAGGTTCCCCTGAGCCACTGTGAGCTGCTTGATGTGTGTCCTGGGAACTGAACTTGGCTCCTCTGTAAGAACAGGAAGTGCTCTTAGCCGCTGAGCCATCTCTTCAGCCCACTTGCTGGCCAAACTGTCTTTGGGAGTGTGCCTATTCTCTTCAGTCAGAAAGTCCTCCATTCCCTCCAAGGAATAAAATGTCTCTAATTCAAAGAGAACATTCAGACAAGTCTGTTAGCTCTCATGTTGACAGCTTCTGAAGAGAACAGGCTCTGTTTCTCACAGCCAAGGGCATCTTCTCCACAGACAGCTGGGCTGTGGCTTCTAGCTTTGTTGTTTGGGGTGTATATTCCAGAACTCCAAAAAGTCAGAGCTTACAGGAAGAAGGGGTTGAGTTCGGCTTAGACTGAGGTTGTTTGGCTTTTCTGGGGGTGATCAGGGCTCTGGAAGGAGGCCGACAGTGCCCCTGCATTCCTGCCTGCACCCCAGGGGCCCTGCTCCTGTTCAGAGGCCATATTTTTAAAATACTTTATTTTTTTCATAATACTGTCATTACAAAAAAATACAAAAAACTACTATAAAAACATTCAGGGGCTTGTCAAAGTGAGAAAACCTAAAGACCCCACCCCAGGACCAGCTGAAGCAGTCTTCTCCCATCTCCTTCACTATTTGACTTTTATACAACTGTGGGAGTGAGGTGGGGGTCACATAGGTAGAGAGGGGCTGGAAATCTCCGACACAGCCTCCAGAAAGGTAAGAAATAAGTAGCTTCACATATCACAAAAGTGGGGTTTGGAAGTTTGGGGTGGCTCGACCCTGAGTTCAGAGATGTGGGGAGGAACCTATAATCCTGAATCTCTTGGTGGGGAGTAGCTGCCACCTGACCCCAAAGCCCTTTCCTTCCTGACGGTGGCTGGGAGATGGGTCCTGCCCCACCTCTTGGCTGTAATGCTTCAACCCCTCTTTTCTCCATCCTTGAACACTCCTCAGAGCAGCGGGGGGAGCGGACCCTTCAACTCGGTGGGTGTAGGGCAGGGCAGCTGTTGGGGAGGCTCCTGAGTGGTGGTTCACCTCCCTGCCCCAAATGAAAAAGTGTCTCGTGCTCAATGAATGGCCTTGTTCACAGGTAATGACCTCTCCTTCCTATGTCCTCTCCTCTCGTCTCCCAGAGAGACACAGACCACTTCAGGCAAGTGCTTCGTGTGCATGAATACTTGTGGGTTAGTCTTGGACACTACAGACCTGGGGGGGGTCCTTTCTGTCCTCTTTCTCCAGAAACAGGAGGACGCAAAAGGGAAGGGGGAGGAAAGGGTTAGCAAGGCTGAGAAGGAGGAGGACATGCTATTTACAGGCATGGACAAGGACTCTAGATCTTCAAGTAGCACTCGAGTCACTCTCCAGCCACTGGAGTGGGGACTGGATTCAAAGCTAGTGACGGAAAATTGACCCCTGGCCTGGGCTAGCTCTTCCCACCTCCCTCCCATTCCCCCAAAGCAGCCCAGCTCTGAAAGGGGTTGGGGACAGGAACATTTTCCTGAAAATCAGTGGCTTTTGTTTGCGTTTTAGAAAAGTGCCAGTGTCCAGTGGACATCCAGCCGGGTCCACATGAGATGGAGTGAGTGTGGGGGTATTGCTGTGGTAGGCTCCAGACCGGCCGGGGCAGAGCCTAGGAGCAGGGTAGGTGCTGCTTAAGGATCTGCCGGGTCTGTGGTGTTAATCTGTCTGGGAATCGAACTTTGAACTCAACAATAAGGTCTCCCCGCTGTGTGGGCACCTTGGGGAAGGGAAGGCCCTCCCCACGGAGTCTCTTCACGGTGCCTGGCTTGATTACATCATTGCAGGGCAAAGGGATCACTCGGCCATCAATGGTGGGAATGTTCACAGTGCAGCCACACAGCGCCTGGGGAAAACAAGGCAGAGAGTGAGGCAAAGGGAGGCAGAGAGTGGGGAGAAAGGAAGATGTACACAGGGTGGGGGGGATGTGAGACAGAAAGACAGACAGACAGACAGACAGACGCACGCACGCACGCGCCCCACCTCCTTGAGGCTGATCAGTGCACTGTAGAGCACATTGGTGCCATCTCGGCGGAAGTGTGCATGAGGCTTGTCTTTGAGCACGAAGACAATGTCAGCTGGGATGTTGTCAGGTGTGGCATCACCCTCTTTGGGGAAGGTGATCTTGGTACCTTCCTTCCAGCCACGCTTGATGACGATGTGCAGGATTTTGTCCTCAGTGCGCACAGTTCGCCCATCAGGGTTAAGGCGTCGTCTTGTGATCTTCATACGCTTAGTGGAGCCATGGTAGATCTCCTCCAGGGACACCCGAAGCTCATGCACCACAGGGGGGTCCTGCACCTTGCGCCGGGGGTACAGCTGTTCTGGGGCTCGTCTTGGACCCCTACTCAGCCCATTGAAGCCAAAGCGGCCAAAGGCACCAAATGGGTCCTCATCTTCATCCACATCCATGTCATCTGGGTCAAAGCCACTGAAGGGCCGAGTGGAGCGGCTGCTGGCAAAGAAGATATCGAAGGGGTTGGAGCCACCAAAGAAGGAAGCAAAGGTGGCATGAGGGTCCCCATGAAAGGTGTAGTGAAAGGAGCCACCGGAGCCACCTGACGTACCACCGCCGGTCTTGAGGCCTAAAGGGGAGGAGAAATTAGGGGCAGTGTGGTCCATCCTGGCCCCATCCCAGTCTTTTTCCCCTGCCTGCTAAGCTGCCAGTTCATGGACCTAGAGAAAGAAGCAATCTTTAACTCCCACAGAGAGGGTAACAGTATAAAAAGCGTTGGACAAAATTAATATCCACTCACTTAACTACATATTTAGGAGCAGACATCTGGGCATGGTGGTGCATATCTGTAACCTCAATATTCAAAAGACTGGGCAGGGTACTGAGAGTTTTAGGCCAATCTGGGCTGTGCGGTGAGATCTGGTCTCAAAACACAAACCCAGACAACCTGCATCTTGAGAGTCCATCAAACTAGTTAGCCAGTGAGTTGAAAAGTTAGGACCAGGGGACTTAGGAGATAGCCTCTGTTATGTAATCCTCCCCACTTACTCAGTCCAAACATGCCTCATGAAAGCTTGGGCAGCTGGCCTCATATCACATGACAGGCTATACCTGACTCCCAAATCCCTGTTTACTTCCCAAGACACACAGAGCTAGAAACAGACAGGGTTTGACCACAGAGGGGGCTAGTAATCGACCTGTCCTAAATGAAGTGTGGGCACAATCCAGGAGGAACCCTGCTTTGGTTCTTCTTCATCTTTCCCTAATTTTTGCTCCAACAGGAAAGCAAGAGGTCTCAAAAAAACAAGGAAGCTCATTGACATGGAAATGGAAAACAATTTTTCTAGGAAAAAAACTCAATTACTTTCTTCCCATACTCTGGTCCCACGACACACAGCTTCAGGGACCGTCATTCACATATTGTACAGACATAGGCTCCAGTAGACACCACACCAGCCCTGCATCCCACAGCTAACGTGGAGCAACCACAACCCAGTGGGCTGGCACCATGCAAGGGACGAACGACCACAGATGCTCTCTCTGGAGTTGGGTCTTGTCTAAGGGACGCGGATTTCTGGATGGTATTTTTGTGGTAGGTGTGTGATGGAGTAGTGGGAAGAGGATTAACACAGACTGATTCAGGGCTGAGGCCCAGATAGGGGAGGGGTCCCTCTCATTGAGACTTATTTATTAATTTAGTGCTTCTGGGATGGATCCTAGGGCTTCGTGTACTGTGCTCTTAGCACTAGACTATATTCTTAGCCCTCTTGAGCCTTTTATCTAAAATTTCAATTGGCCTTGGGAACCTGGGCCTAAAATATCCTCTTATTTCATGGGACCATGAGGATGGGTTTGGGTTTCATTAGACAGGGCAAGCAAATAACAGGCACTCAGGGGCTTGTGGCAGCTGCCTCCTAACCTCTCACCGAAGACTTGGGGTCTGTTCTTTCTGTTAAGGGCTAGTTATGAAGCAAGTTTACAAAGCTAGACAGAGCTTGCTGAGAGAGCAGGAGGCTGGACTGAGAACAAGACGGGGGTAATTCTCACTGTGGGGACTCTACCACACCACCACACTTCAAAGAGAACAACTTGTCCCAAGCCAGAGCTGCACACACACTCCGTGCACAATTGTTCTGGCTGGCTGTTGAGGAAGAATCAGAGTGGACAGAAATAGACCTGACTTTCCAAGGTGGTTTCTCCCTCCTCCAACCCAGTGGTCTTCCCTGGGCCACAGAGATCTACACCAGAACCCAGGGGCTCTGCCTAGGGTTCGAGTCTGGGTGTTTCCTTCACTTGGGCTTGTATGTGGTGGGGGAGGAAGTTTCTCAGTAGCTTCTCCAGCTCCTTCGCTTAACAAAGGTTAGGTTAAGTGCAGGATTAAATGCAGTTCTGAGACAGGCCACGTGAGGCGTGGCGCCGGCACTGCCTGCCTTCTTTCTCCACTCCCATCCTTCCCATCCTCCCTCCTTAGCTGAGAGAATGCCGGGGATTCAAGCAGGTGCCTGAACTCTCTGAGAATTGGCAAGTCTAGGAATGATCAGGGAAAAATGGAATAAGTTCACAGCATGGAGACTAAAAAGAGGGGGCTGGGAAGACAGGGCATGGGGAGGAGAGCAGCAGAGACGAACAAAACACAAAATGAAGAGGGGACGGAAGGAGCATGCTCTTGAGCCCCTGCCTTTAGTCAGGCATGGTACATGCCATTAGCCGGTCTCATTCTAAGCACACGCTGGGGAAGGTGAAGAGGAGGACAGTGTGAGAGAACGGTGGATGTCGTCAGGAGGAAGGGCAGGTCTTCCCAGGAAGGAGAGTCCTCAGCTGTGACAATGTCTCTTAATATAGCCTGACAGGTGCCTGTGGCTGGCGGGTGGCAGGCGGGCCCCGAGGGGCAGGCCCAGAATTAGCAGCTACATCATGCCCGTGGGATGTGCTGGGAGGAGCCACGCTCTTAGAGGCTTTATTTGGGCCTTTCCTGCTGTCCGCCCTGTGCATGTCCACCAGCTGCCCTAGGGATGGGGTAAGATGCCAGCAACATCTCCCCTTCCAGTCCTGGATCCCTGCCACTTCCTCTGGGAGACAAATCTGTGCTGCTGGCCCAAAGTGGCCAGGGGTTGGGGGATGGTGGCAACAACCATTTCCACTCAGAACTCTAGTGGTTAATTCCCCGGCTGTTCAAGGGCCAGACTTTTATGCTGATGAATGTAAATGCCGTCCTCAGAGAGCCACAGGCTCGCTCTCCCCAACCTTTCAGATCAGCCAATGAAGCAGCAGGGACTTCAGGCAGGACTAATAAGGCTGGGAAGGAAAGAAGGTAGGAGGAGAGGGGGAGGAGGCCTCTGGCTCAGACTCCAGCCTCTCTAGGGCCAGAAGGGGACAAGGGAGGGGGGAGAGATAGATGGGGAGGAGAGTGAGCAGGAACCAGGTAGTGAGGAGTGGGCTACTCTAAGGAAACTTGCCTCCTTCAACCCCACTATGAGAGCTGGCTCACCCAGGGGTTCGGGTTTGGGCCGCGGTACCACCTTCTTACCTTCCTCCCCATACTGGTCATACAGGCTCCGTTTCTTAGGGTCACTCAGCACGTCATAGGCCTCAGCAATCTCCTTAAACTTCTCCTCAGCATTGGGTTCTTTGTTCTTGTCTGGGTGGTATTTCAAGGCCATCTTCCGATAGGCTTTCTTGATCTCATCCTCATTGGCCCCTGACGGGATTCCGAGAATCTTGTAATAATCTTTTCCCATCACAGCCACTGGACCGGTGCTGGGCTCCTTGTTTCTGAAAGAACCCAAGTCCAGTCTTTGGTGCCCTGTTCTCTACAGCCCAGCCCCACTCCTGATGATCCTGCAATCCTTGAATGACTCCCTGTATGACCTTCAAAAGGTCATGCCTGTTCTCTGGGCCTCTCTCTCCCCATCTGTACAATGAAAGTTTTGGGCTAGATGATGTCTTCCAGTTCTGACATGCTAGGATTCTGTGATTCCTTTGTGGTCCACTTCTTGGGGCTAAGCTGCGGCCCAGACCCTTGAGCCAACCTGAGGACCCCTGGGAGGCCCTTCTGAGTGAGATGGCTCTGTAGACTGACAGGCTCACAGAAGCTGGCGAAGGTCAGCGGACTGAGTGAGGTCACCTGAACTTCATAGTCTTCCTACGCCACACCTCAGGCATGGTGCCCAGACTGAGGACAGCTGGGGTAGTAACCCAGGACTGGGACCAGGCTCCAGTCTTTGGCCAGTTGAACCAGGGTATGGGAGTTTGGAGTCTTTTCTGCCTCTGGGGACCCTAGGTCTCTCTGCCCTTTCTCCCCAGGCTATGCTAAGCTTCACGTGTAACTCAGATCACAGGATGACTCACAGCCGTTGGAACCTGCTGTTTCTAACACCCTCATTAGCAAGGGGGGGGGCACTGTCTATCCCCCAAGCAGGGTAACAGTTGCCTTTACTCGTTTCCCAGCATCTACGCACTGACGTGGGAATACATGTCTGCGTGGCCTACGCACCAACGGTAGTGAACCACAAAAGCACCAGGAGACAGATGGACACCTACCACCTTGTCCTAAATACCTTTGTTGAAGCCCCTCCTCTATCTGCTCCTACAGTTTAGGATCTGACTCCTCCGACAACCCCTTCTGAGTGGGGTTCACGGACACCAACATGCTCTGACTCTTCTGCTCTAGCCTGCTCTCATCAATGGATCTGTGGACAAGATGAAGGGAGTGGCCAGATATTGTTCTTTAGCATTTTTGAGGTGTAGCCAGCCCTTGTCAAAACAGGGAGAACCAGAGTCTTTCCAGCAATGTCTGGCAGCCACAGCTGAGGTCTGTTTTTCTGACCCTACTACTTCACAGTAGTGAGGTGTACAAGGTATCCTGGCAGGACTAAGGGCTATGACAGTTGGGGGAGAAGCCTCAGGGGCCCCAGGTAGGCAGGGAGAATGGCCTTAGCTCCTGGCCCTACAGGGCCTGCTGTAGGTGGCTAGGTTGACTCATGGCTCTGGGAGTCACCTCACTCTGACAAAGAGAAGGCACCATAGAGGCGGGTACTCCCCCATTTCCCCACACCAGCATGTCACGCCTGTGGGGGAGACAGGACTTGGGGGAGGCAGAGAAGAAAGAGCATCTGGGGGAGGGCAGCCATTTTCGGAAGCGGCATTAGCAGTCTGAGAGGGAGACGGGGTGGTCTGCCATCTTTGCCTCAGCCCACACTTTCTTTACCCCTGGATTGAAAGAAACCTAGAACAGCAACAGGGTGCCAGAAAACTCCAGCAGGTTCTAGGCAGAGGGGCAAGTGGCATAGCCTACCAGCCCGCCCACCTTTTGTGGTCCTTTCACTACCACTTCACCACTGCCAGCTTCCTCCCTGGCATCCACCTGCTAGCTATTCTCGACCCATAATTCTCTTGCCTCCACAGACACAGGGCAAACTCTCGGGACCTGCCTCCTTTCCCACCTTTCCACCCTCCTTCCCTCTCCCTCCCCACAAGCCACGTGGCAGAATGACAAAGGAGCCCCATGGCATGGCTCTGTCTTTGATGAATGAGGAATATGTTAGGGTAGAGCTCGGAATGAAAAAAACAAGGATGAAGAGCAAAGGGACTGTCAAGGACAGGGAGGAGTGGGTACTGACAGAGGGGACAAGAGATGACAAAAGGAAATGGCCAAAGTGGAAAACAGGTCACTGGTGGCTTGGGAAGGAGAACAGAGGAACTGAAATATTGGAGATGGTGTGGAAACAAAGAGTTTGAGAGAGATGAATGATATGGGGACAATTCATTCAAACGATCAGGTGAGGTCAAAGGATGCCACAGGGTGAAATAAATGAGGATGTGATGCAAGGGAGGAAGGAGGGAGGCAGTGCAGGGAATGGCTGATGTGGAGAATTGACTCGGCATGGATATGAGTGCCCTTCTCAGGAGGGACTTACCGAAACTTTACAAACCCATTCAGCGTCCACGCTCGAAGTTTTAAGGGCTCCAGCTGAATTTTAAACATCAAGCTGGCTAAGAAGTCTTCTCCCCAGAAGTGTGGGAAGCTCCGGAAAGCTCCTCGAGCCTGTAGTGGGGGTGCTGCTGGGGGTGGGCAGGAGAGCACTGTGCGCTTAAACATGCCCAGCCAAGCCCCTCACCTCTGATCGCTCCACCGGAGCCTGCTTGGGACGCTGTAGCTCTGGCAGCCACCTCCTCAGATTCTCAGAGGCCCTTGCCCAGCAAGGCCTGTCTCGTGCTGCAGGAGCTGGACCTGATCCCCAGGTGCGGAGTGGAGGGAGAGGGTCCAGCGGCCACCTGCTCTCAGGTACAGCAGTGTCTGGCTGAATGTGAGTGGCTGTATGGCTGTGTGACAGTGAGGCTGGAAGTGACAGTATGTGCTTGTTGAGTGGCAGCGTGTGTACCTGTGACAGGTGTGATAGTGAGGGCCTGAGAGGCAGTGAGCTCCTCTCGCCTCTCTGGGGAGGACCAAGGCCAATCTCCAAGAATCTACTCAATGAAGTCACTGACGGGGAGTCTCCTCCTCCGCAGATGGGCGGGGAGGGGCGGGGCAGAGCCGAGCCTGGCCCGGACAAAAGGCGCGGCGGGGAGAGGAAGGAAGGGGGTTCGCGCGGGGGAGGGGGTCGGTGATGTCACCCCAGCTGGCTGGCTGGCTGGCCTGCTCAGAAATGCCTCTGCCCGGCGCAACCCAATCCGACCCGACCCAGCCCGACCCTCGTCGCAGACACCTAGCACCTGGCAGACCCCAAGCTTTCAGGCCCCACACCCCTATGGCAGAGAAGGCTATGGACCCTCGGTGTCCCCCGTCCCCCCTCCGGCTCCGGACCTGTCTTCTCGACGCCTCACTCCTGGGACCCCCGAGTCCTCGCTCAGCGCCCTCACCGGTGAGGAGCTGCGGGCGCCGCCGCGGTCCTTCTATCAGCCGCTGCCCCCTCCCCCGGCTCCGGCTCCGCCGCCTCCACTCGGGACAGGAGTCGCCTGCCCGCCGGCCGCAGACAGCGGGACCGGGAGCCCGCCCCCACAGCTCCGCCTCCGGGCTTCCCATTGTACTGTCTGCCCGTCACTCAGCTCAGACTCTGCTATGATTGGACATCTCTCAACGAGCGTCCGGGTGATAGCCACCCCTTCTCCGCCCCTGTCACCCGGCCACACGCGCACACATTCCGGGCAGTGATTGGTGTGGGTGTGATTGGTGCCCTCCGGGATCAATCAACCACACCTCTTCTCCATCTCGTCGTGTCATTGGTGAAAAGGACAGAGGGCGTCAACTCCAGGCGCCCTTTGATTTTATTGGCTCATCCCTGTGACTTCGACCCAAGCCAGCGGGGCAACTATATTAGTCCAGTCTCCAGTATGAGGTGAGACGTGCTGGCAACTACTTGAGTCCAGGAAGAACCTTCTGGAATGAGTTCAACCTCAAAGACCACCTAATAGGAAAACTGCGTTCTCCACTTGGCGGTTACACCAGTCATTCTTTCCTTTCTTCATTTAGGAGAGTCGAAGGAGAGCGGGAATAGTGCACTGGGGGAGGTGAAGCCACTGTTCTTACCGTTTAGCAAACTGTGAGCCAACCCGACCTGGCCTGGTTTAGCTTTACTTTGTCTTGTTCTGGGGTTGACCTGACATGGCTTAACTGTAGTACGAAACGGACCAGGACAGACCTGGGAGTCTATGTGCCCTTGCGACCTCCTCTCTGCACACAATAGTAACTGGTAACTCCAGGAGTGACACCTTCATGATTCTCTGTCCAGCTGCCTTCCATCTTCCGTGCAGTCCTTTCTCGCTGGCTGTTGACTGTCTTAGGAACAGCCACTTCTCAGCTACTTGGAGTCCACAGGGCCCCTTATAATCAACCTTTCATCTTTGTCTTTAACTTCTTTTTCTTGCCCCCATGATACCCGTCCTTCCCTCACCCCAATATTCTGTCTTTTTCTGCATCTTTCTTATTTTTTTTTGTCTTATTCTTAATTTATCTCCCTACTTCTGTGGTCTGCAATATCACAGCTCATGGCTTTCCCTTTAACCCTTTACCTCAGCTTCTCATGGTCCCCTTTCTTAACACCCTCATACACTGTCACCTCTGCTCCCCCAATCCCCAGTAAATCATTAAATCTCAGCCCCAGTGTCCCCGATACTCAGAGCAGGCGGGGCTGCGGAGGCGGTCGCCAGCGGAAGCCGCCGCTCCAGCAGACACCGAGCTTGCGCCCACGTTACTGTCTCCCAGGCCCATCTGTGCTGGAGGGAGCGGGGGTGGGAGGGGGTAATCTGGGGGTGAAGAGGGGGAAGGGTTCTTGGGAGATTTAGTGACAAAGAAAAGGCCTGAGAAAATGCTCTCGTCTCTCATTCTTTGCCAGTTTCAAGAGACAGATTTAGATACCTAGGAGGCCATGCAAGCTGGATAGAACTGTAAACTGAGGCTTGGGCTATCTAGGCCACAGATTAGAGCAGGAGAGGGGTCTGGGGATTTGGAGGCAAGGTCTACATATTCTTAACTACCTGTCTCTTCCCGTTGTGCCACCTGGGACTCTTGAGTGTAAAGGAATTTGAGTAAGAAAAGGAATGAGGGTGGGAAGAGGAAGCGGGGTAGAGGAGTGATGAAGGATGGGAGATGGCATGATCAGTTTGGGAACGAGCAGGTATCTGGCTGAAGGAGGTGGAATGGGAACTGGAAAGGGGCCAGAGGAAGACAGGGTGGGAGGCAAAGAGGAAGTGAGGGGTGAGGGGAAGGTGAGCTAGGCCGGGGCGGAGATTGTAGGAGCAACAAAATGGGACAGAGAGACCAGAGGGGGAAGAGTGAGGAGGAAGGGATGGGCAGCGATGAGGGGAAGAAGTAGTGAGGAGGAAGAGATGGGGCAGCCTGGGAAGAGGGGTCTGGGAGTGGTACTGCCTCCTAGGGTTTGGGGGCTCTCACTATCCTTCCTCCTGACTTAGTGACCCCAACAGCCCACAGCTATGTTTCTTTCTAAATCTAGGTCTGCCTCTTGCTGCTCCCAGCCTTGTCCTTGTCAGCTCAGAGGCTGAACTTCGTCACCTGGCTCTGCCCCTGCTAAACTGTGGGTGTGAACTTCAGGGACTCTAGGTTTGTGTCCTTGGGAGTGGGACCCAGACTCCACTGTCTGCACCACCACCGTTGCCTTCTGTCCCACTGTCCAGGGCATCTGAGCAAGGTGCGCAGTGCAGCATGGGCTGTAAGAACGAGCGCTGAAGTCGGAGAGCCTGCTGATCTTGGGGGGCCACTCACCCCTTTTGTGCCTCATTTGTTCTTGGCAAATTGGCCAAGCAACAATAGAAGCTCTCAGGGCTTTTTCAAGGGTTAATTAAGGTGACACATGTAATAATGGTCTTCCTTCTGAGCTCGGCATGGGATTAATATTCAAATTAACTCTACTGTGTGTTCAGGGCTATCTGTGTGTGAGTGCAATTACACATATGTGTGTCTGATTGGGAGTTATTTACTGTTATAATCATAATTCCATTGTAAGGGTGTATCTGCACAGTTATCTTTGTGTGTAGTATGCCCGATTCTGTACTTGCTATCGGTGTGCGATTTTCATGATAGCACACATGTATGATTAAATGAATGGCTGTACAAGCAAGTGGCTACATGAAGAAGGGGGGAAGTATGTGGCTACTGACACCATTTCTGCCAGTGTATGTACCCATCTGTGATCATGTTGGCTCCAAACACCCCCGCTTGTCCTCCCTGCTCATGGAGACGTCATAACCCTAGGTGTCCCTCATTTCCTCACCCTGAGGGAACCGGAACCTGTGGGCAGGGGGTGGGGGTGGGTGCCAGTGAGGAGGTGTTTGAGCAGGAGCTCATGTCCCCTCCCAGACTGTGTATGGGAGGGGGAGCCCCCTATCTTGCACATCCCAAATCCTCCAGAGGAAGTGCTTCCCCCCTCGGCCTGTTTCTAGTTCCCTGTCTTGTCACCATGGCAGCAGTTGCCAGGGGCTCCCATGGTTGCTAAGATATGGGTGTGGGAGGATGCCAGGCCCTGTTGCTAGTAGAAACAGAATCTTGGAGGCAAGAAAGACTACCCCCACAACTGCCAGCTTTATGCAGCAACAGCACTGGCTCTTGGGCTGTCCCTTTCCCCAAACTGAACCTATGAATCATGTGTGGCAGTGTGGTGTGTGAGGAGCCTATAATATGAAGCTGGGACTGCAACATCTTCTGAGGAGAAAGGGGGATCCTCAGTCTACCCCATCACCACGTTTAAAGCCAGCAACTCCTTAGAGAAGCTAGAGGTTACTTTCTTCTGTTTCTCATCTTCCCCACTGGTCCCCTGGGTGGCATCTATGTCTGGGGCTCTCCAGTGACTGGTTGCTCATCATGTGATGTTTTACCTGGCCATACAAATGCTGCTTTGAATGCAGACTGACTCCTTCCTGTGGTCAAACTCTTAGCATCTCATCTGATACGTGCTTCATGCTGACATATGAACATAGACTTTGTCCCACACCGAGTCCCAACTTTGGCACTTGCTTGAGACACTGCCTCTAGTTATAATCTTGGCCAAAGCAATCTCTGAATCCAGCCTCAGCCTTCGCTTATTTCCTAGACATAGTTAAGCCCTAATTTTAATGCTAGACACATGAACTTATCGTCATTGTCACTCTTGTCTTTTTCACTGACTGAGCACTGACCAGCAATTTAACTCCCTGGTACCTGCTGGCATCTCCTTGAGCTTCGAGGCCAAAAGTGATCAGTACCTTTGAGGTTTGAAAGATTTAATTTCTCACTTTAGGACGAGATGGCAGTTCTAGGGATGGCCAGCAGAGGGCGAGTAGCATAAGAGTCTCAAGGCAAGCTTCCAGGAGCCTACCAATGAACTAAGAAAGTTTTAGGTTTTTGATACTTAAACTTTAAAGTCATGTGACTGCTTGAACTTACAAACTTATCTTCAGATCAGCTTGGATAAGGGCTGGGAAGGTGCTTAATGTGGACTGGCTCCTCAGGTGTGAAGAGGACTCAGTATCTTGCCAGGTATGACACTCTCAAACTCAGCACCCTTGTGGAATGTTTTGATGGCTGCACTGCCTCTCCTGGGGGTTAGTTGTCCTTCGTGCCTATTGAGAAGAACTGTGTCTTTTCACAAGGTTCACCCTTCAGCTAGGCTCTGTCCTTGAGATTCCTCCAGCTTTATAGATCCCATTGCCAAACCCCAGCCATCTGCACCACTCATGCCCGCCCTCTCCAGGATTCAGGTCTTCATGGGCTTTTCATCTGCCATGTTCGATTCCAGCCATTCAAGGCTTGTTCGTCAAGTGCTTGTTCCAGAAGTGCTGGATATGAACAAAATGGCTTGCCTTAGCAGGGCGGTGGTGGTGCACGCCTTTAATCCCAGCACTCAGGAGGCAGAGGGAGGTGGATCTCTGTGAGTTCCAGACCAACCTGGTCTACAAGAGCTAGTTCCAGGACAGGCCCCCAAAGCTACAGAGAAACCCTGTCTTGAAAATCCAAAAAGAAAAAAAAAAAGATGGCTTGCCTCCCCTCCCTGACTAGCTAGACTTCTTTCCATGTAGCCTTAGGTTGTATTCATTTTTTTCCCCCTTTTTTGGTAGCTAACTCATATAGATCACTCATACCAAGTTAAAACCACAAGTACTTTTTTTGCCCCTGAGCTGCTGATTCATCTCTGGTCTATTATGATTTTGAAAAAAAAAACTTGAAATAAGTTAAATAAAAACATTTTGATGATACTTTCTGAATTTGAGGGCAATTTTTGAGCCTGGAAATCTCTACATTTGATGTTTACTTCAA